CCACTGGTATCCATCATAACAAATCCACTTAGTATAGAATTACAATATAATAAACAGTATGTGGAAACATACTCATTACTCTCTACTTAACTATTTTATCTTATGGATTTTGGGTGATTAACCATCTATTCTTACTTTTTCAACTATTCAAATATTACCTGCAACCCTATATTTACTAAAACACAATATTTTCTATTCTATCTTATTATAAATTGTCYACTTACTGTCGAATATTTAGTAATATGTTTTTTCTTTTTTTTAATGTTATAGTTTTGGAAGTAGTGACAGGTGAATATGGAAATTTCACATCTCAACTCAAAACAGCAGCTATTGATAAATCATGGCGGACACCACCTCAAATCACCGATTCACGTAATATTTGTACTTGTTTTATTTTTTTTTAGTTACTTACTTATTTTCTTTCACTTTTACGTATTGTACTAAGAAATRTCTCTTTGAGTAACATATTTTAAACTAACTGATCTTTGTGGTCAATAATTGCTTTTTTAAATTTCCAGGTTCATTGTTAAAAAGAAAATCTAAGAACCMTGGTCCGACTACATTGGTCTTGGTCAACCAGCCCTCCGAATTCAATAAATTATTAGTACTGATACACAGAAGTTTAATGCAGGTCTACAGAGATTGGGTTAGTGAAATATATTTTTGTTTATACATTTAGTTGTATTTCCAGCTATATGAAGGTATGTCTTATACCAGTTCCAGTCACCCACTAAATCTCTGATGGAGTGTACTCTGAGAAAAGAGTAAACACCCCAACTCATACCTAGTACAATACTTTATTGACGGATATTTTTTTTTCTTACTAGCATATTGATAGTAAATATGTACCTACCTATTATCATAGTTTATAATATGATATTTAAATGATAAAAAAAATATAATAGAAATACATTTTGAAATTGCCTGCTTAACGTCTCCGAAAAATTGGTGGTTATACCACTGAGCTATATTAGTCTTAGCACATCATTAAAGCCAATCATATTTTCTTAGCATAATAATTTTAAATGTTTATATTATTTAATAAATACAGATGTATTTTTACGACTAACAGTAGTAGGTGAGATTGTCTCGCAAAAGTAGGTTACATTAAAGAATATTTTTGTTATGATATTATAATATACTATAGTTACAAAAATAAGAATCTTTAACTACCTATATATATAGGTATATTGAAACAGTGCTTAAATCTTGAGAAGGTATCAACAAAAAGTTGTTTTAAATATTTGTTTACAAACAAATAAACTAAGCCATTGTTTTCTTTTTCATATTTTGTATTTAAATTTGAATTTTTCAAATATCTTGCAGTGGACCAACAAGACTTACCTAAAAATAATTTGAAAATGGTCAAATAGTTTTAATATATGTTTAAATTATACAACTCTTTAATTGTTAATGATATCCGTGATGCTTATAATTAACCTGAATTGGAATTAAATTAGATTCGGTAAATTTTACAGGTACCAATGAACTTCTTGAAAAGATAAGATTTAGTTTTTATGTAAAATATGTTGTTAGTTTTARAATCTGTCAAGAAAGTAATTATTATGTAGGAAAACTATATAATAAATAAATACTAGGTCAATAAAGTTCCTCGTTATTATATCACATATTATTATATTAAGTAGTAGTAATAAAACAAAATCAATTCTCATGTAAATTGTAGGTTCTACAAAATCAGGTCACGCTAGTATTCAAAGTTCAAATATTCTAATGTTCTTAGAAATTAATCAAGTGMATTTACCATACTGTACCTAGTTATAATATATTATTAAAATTGGCAACTATTATTATATAAAATTTCAATATGATACTTAATGAAATGCAAATAAAACCTAATACATCGTAAAAAGTACCATTTTTTTTTTCGAACAAAATATAGTTTCACTGTTAAACTCTTGAAAATATATCAAAATAACCTACCCAAAACACAGTTCCCATGAGACTTCCTCTTGTTCAAGGCAAGCAAGCGAAATGACTGGAATCAATGTCTTCCTTTCTTTATATCAATYAGGTATTCAATTAAAGAAATGATGTTGTTTCTTATCCTGAAATAAAATAAAAGCAAACATACAAAATATATTGAGTTTATATTGTTATTTAATGCATATTTCATACATTATATTATAATAGCATCACGATTTGACTATTTTGTTATAGACGGTTACTCATGTTAAAATATGTATGCACTTCCTCGTTGGGATTTTACTGGGACTTTTGTTTGAAAACGCCGGCATCGATGGTGGAAAGACTATCAACAATATCGGATTCTGTATTGTAACACTTGTATACTTAAGTTACACATCCATTATGCCAGCTATTTTAAAATGTAAATACAAATAATACGCATATCTAATATAGCATTGACAATTCAAAGGTGGGCATTAACTAGTTAAAAGGGTTGAAGTTAAGTTAAAAATGAATTTTTTTAAGCTTTTTAATTAGTTTTTTTTATTTCAAATCAACGCATGRACTTAACTAGTTTAATTGACAGTTGAAATAACTAAGCTTTTCTCGGTTGATTTAAAAATAATCTATCAAGTTAAAAAAATTTCGAAATTTTTCGTTTATATGTAAATATTAATATAAAATAAAAATAATCCAATACCTACTATAACAACACAGACATTTCTGTTCTTTTTCTTAATAAAATAATTTTGTTTATTGATATACCTAGTTTATTAGTTAAGAAATTCACTTTTTCTATGATTTACATACTAAAAAAAATAAAAAATAAATAAAAAAATAGATTAACTTTTTTTTAAACTGAGTTACGTTAATATTTTTTCCATATTAACTTTTAACGTATCGATTATGTGTTCAGTTAACTTAACTTGATTTATATATTTTCATTAACTTGCCCACCTTTATAATGAGTACTCGCGCGTGTCGCACACGGAAAAGTGTTTTATAATATTATGTCAATTAAATAGTATATTTTAATTTTTCAGTTCCATCCGAACTTCACATTCTGAGAAAAGAGTTATTCAACAACTGGTATAAGCTATCAACCTATTTCGTAGCGTTTCTCGTGACGAATATGCCTTTACAGGTAAGTCAATGATCAAATTATTACCAAAACTGTTCGTACGAACATATTTTCTCCATTATAACAATACCTAATATGCTCATTGTGTTTTCCACAGATGATGTTTTGTTTTATTTACACATCTATATCTTACTACTTGTCAGCACAACTGATGACGTGGACCCGATTCTTGATGTTCTTATTTGTTTGTCAGTTAATGACCCTAATATCTGAAGSCATTGGCCTCATTCTCGGGACAGCCATGAACCCAGTAGTAAGTCGATACTATCACTATGTAGTRTGTACATTGTACATATATCAAATTCTGCTTACAAATCCTGTCCATTTCCACTCGAACTAATATATGATTACGCGTAATATTTCAGAACGGAGTCTTCATTGGTTCAATCATCACTTGTCTGTGTATTCTCTTCGCCGGTTTCTTAGTACTATTCAACCACATGCCTATTATCCTGTACTATGTGTCCTACATCAGTTACATGAGGTATGCACTAGAGGGGCTGGTTGTCTCCATTTACGGTTATGGTCGCGAACCACTGATTTGTTTGAACGAAGAAGGTTACTGTCATTACCGCTTCCCGGAAACGACATTCAAAGAGATCGGTATGACCGATGGGAAATATTGGACGGACATATCAGTAATGGTTGGATTTTTGTTCGTCATTGTGATAATTAGTTTTTTGACTTTGCGAAAAAGTTTAAAATGCCATTAACCCTGTCAATCTGTGATTATAATCTTTAAAATTTATGATGAACTTGTTACATTAACTGCTTGGTAAAAGATTTACCCAATTTACTGTAATTTAATATCATAATTATTTAATGTAAATATTTTTTTTGTTTAAGATTTAGGATTAACGGTATATTTATACTAAACTTAAGTGGTAGATAAACCTTTGCTATTTAGATTTATAGAACATTGTTCAATATATTATTTTTAATATTTTTATTTATGTTAACTGTAAGACGTGTTGAATTTAATTTTTATATCATTGAAATTAAATAGTGTTTATAGATGTTTAGGTGCCTATATATTATGAAGAGTACCCTTATAGTTTAG